CGCTATCCGCAGAACGCCTGGCAGGTGTTGACTCTGCACCCGAGGTCAGTTCACATTGATCTCCGCCTTGCGCAGACCGCTTCCAAAAACATTGTCTCCAAGACGGCCGCCGCCCGGGACCGGACCTTTCGGACGATGGTGTGACTTTCTGCGCAGGCCTCGGCGTCAACCCATCCTCTCTGTGATATCCCTGACCAAGAGGTCCAAGCCTGCTACCTCCTTGTCTTCGGAAACCGTACCGCGAGTCAACAGTCCGAGCTGACTCAGTGGACAAGGCCCTTCTTGCTGTCGGGAAGGGGATCACCGCCCTGGGTCACCCGGATCCCCGCAAGCTCAAAGCTGATCCGACACAACCATCCAATACTCGTGCTTTCCTCAAAGGACTCAGAGATGAAGATGACCCCCTGACCGCGCCTACCCAGTCAACTCTCCATCCTCCGAGCTATGCTCGATGCCTGGACTACGACGACGCCACTTGGGAACCCTCAACCGCCACGTCCGCGACCTTCTGCATCCTGGCTTTCTCTGGCTCCTACGCCCTGCGGAGTAACTGGATACCGGGAACCTTGAATCCCGAAGCCAAGCCTTTCGCCTCTGTGATGTCTCTTCACTGTCCGCGGCGGCTCCAAGTCCGCGGAGACACCATCTCTTTGAATGACGTGAAAAACCACGCGTGCCTCACCGATGCCACCTTCTACGTTCACTGACCAAAAGAATGTGTCCGGTCCGTGTGCCACCGCCCGACCTCTGACCGTGGCTTTGCCCGGTGAAGTCCCTCGCACGTGTGGTCTACCACCTCCGTACCAACGGCGCCGACGCCGATACTCCCCTCTTCAACCACTTCAATGCGGCCCGCAACCGGTGGTATCCTTGAAGCCCCAGTTCATCACAAACGCCCTCGCCAGCTGCGGCCTCATCTCCACGACACCGGCATCAACCTGACAAGGTCTCTGCCTGCTCCCTCCGTCCTGGTGGTGCCAAAGCCCTTCTCTGCGCCCATTGTGACTCGGATGCCATCCTGCCTTCTCGGCCGCTGGAAGTCCGACGCCATGCCTTACCGACTCGAACAGTGTAAGCATTTCCCAAACGCCCGCTGACGATGCCACCCAGACTTGACCACTAAGAGGCAGCCTTGTAGTAATTCCCTATAAACAGATGTTTAGGATAACCATGGGGCGTACAACTGCCCACGCGTGAGGCAGACCTCATTTTGATGAGATTCAAAACGATCGGGCCCCACAATCTATCTTCCTGGACTATATCCTAATCTCATAGTTATGCTTTGAAGGGAGAGGCGCCAAGTGTGATACATCTTAGCTCACCGACTAGGCACAATGTCGCTCCTCAACACTTCAACTCTTGAGATTCTTCTACTCTCACCAACGAATGAACTCTAACGAGGGACTCTCTAATACTAGTCGCCCACCTAGTCCCATCGGATTTCCGTCCGGTACTGATGCCCAGTATCGATTTTGCACTCACACCCTGCCTATGCATGGCAGGACGAATCCCCAACTGGTGCCTACACCCTGCCACCCAATCCCCACCCCCTCTGTCTCATCAGGCTTACCTACCCATTTTGGACATGCGGGCGTACAATCTTCCTCCCTTCCACCCTCACTTGGCAGAACCTCCGGTGAACAGACACTAGTCGGACTCCAAGTCTTCTCATTTCGGTCTCCTCTGTATCCACAAACAATCAGGGCTTGGTACGGTCCCGCTCCCGGATTCGCTAAACGCCTCCTCCTGGTTCTGCTATTGCGCTTTATGGGTTTGCACGGTCAAGTCTGTCACGCCGTGAGCACTACACAGTTTCATCTCCCGGAACCAATGACCTCTCTATATGCGTGTAGTGATCACTATCGACGGCCCAGGCCTGCGCAAGCTCCCAAACCCGCTGAGGAGCTGGCCAGCAACCGACAATTGCGGCGCTCATAGCCAGAGCAGACCTAGGAATTACCGACCTCACGTAGAGAGATTCTTGGTGGTAGTGAAGAGACTCGTGCCACCTGTTTACTGGAAGCCCTGAACCCTGTCGGCATTCATCCGGGGACCCTTGGAGACCGGTCCGGTCCGCTTCTCGTCTCAGTAAATGGCCGAGTCTCTCCACTCACCCAATCCTCTACTAGTCGTGCTAGCTGCTCTGGGCGAGCGCAGCTTGTTGCGCTCGGTGTTGAGCAGCAACACGCCGTGGGAACCCCCCGTCCGAGTTTCACGCCCCGCAGCGTGGAACTTGAACCCTGATGGGTTCTCGCAACTATGACCCTAACATGGTTGCCGAGAGGACCATCTCACAATTTGCAATTAATTCCATCTGCGCCTCGCTCTCACCTACAACTCAAGTACATCTCTACATCTCGCAGGTCATCACCTGTGTTCCGGAAATGGATACCCCACATGATATGCACCGCATCAGCTCCTCAGCCTCTCGAACAAGATACTTAAGGCAACGACGCCCGTCCAAGACCCATTTGGCAAGATCGACACGGCAACCATGAATCACTTAAAGCCAGCGACCTAGCCAAGATCAGCATTGAACTGCCGATCGCAAGAAAGTTGTCTCTCTCAGCTCACAATTCTTCATTCAGCCGACGCTGAAGGCAAGAACTAGATTAGATTAACCCACCTCTCCCTCCCTGGTTGCACGACTCAAGGCTGTCCCGTGGAACATCACATTCCCGGGACTCCCTTTTGCCGTGTGGGATCCATCCGGGACTCCCCTGTCCCGAATGGTACCCCGGGGACTGGAGACGGTCGGCTCAGTAAATGGCCGAGTCTCTCCACTCACCTAATCCTCTACTAGTCGTGTCTAGCTGCTCTGGGCGAGCGCAGCTTGTCTGCGCTCGCATGGCTCCTGTACATACGTAGATGCTGTCGCCCTTCTCTGCAAGATGGCCCGCAGTGACACCGTGCCAAGTAATGACCTCTTTTCCCGAATCGTCCGACTCCGTCTTGGCGAAGCAGAAACTCAAAGTGCAGAAATTCTTGTCGACATTCGCAACGAACTCGCCGCCGCGAAGCGGCCCATCTGACAAGCCGCGGATCTTCTTCTTCACTCTTCCTTTACGCACTGGCGTGGAAAAGCTCTCTGTGGAAGCCGCATCAACCTTTGGACTAACTTTGGCACGTTTCGCTGGAGGCGATTCCTTTAGAGGACTGGGCGTGCAGTCTACCTCACCAGAGGTTATTGCTTCTTCCTTGGACATCGGGGTACAGTATGTAGATCTTCTGGCTTTTACCCGTACAATAAGCTTCAACAATCGATGCTGCACAACAACAAACACGTCTTGTGTTGTGCTTGGTGTTGGGTGCAGTTGGTACATGCCTTGCGTTCCTTGACAGGTGTGCGTCTAGCGTGGGAACTATGGATCATGGCTAGAGTGATCTGCACTTTAAGACCCACTGCAGATTTTAAAAAAGACTATCGTAATATTGTGGGATTTGTACAGTAATTGCTATAGTAGTAACAGCTATATATAACCTATCCAGCTACTACATGTACCGTACGGTCGTATCAGCTAGCTAGCTACTAGCTAGAGCTCTACTACTGACTAGAGGATAGCCTCAGTAACAGCTATCCACTATTGACGAGCCACTGCCTGCATTGTTCAAGGTGTGTGTCAAGGCTTGGCTGTGTAGATACCGGTAGAGGAAGCAGTGTCGATAGAGGAAGGAGGGAGTGTCGATAGAGATACTGGTAGGCAGAGGTGCTTCGAACGATATCAGTAGAGGTGCTTCGAACCACCGCACCGTAGAGGTATGAAGAAGGAGAACGATACCAGGGTTACTCGGCATTCTGTCTGTTTGTGTTTTGGCGATAAAGTGATCCTTTGACTTATGGAAATGTCTACAGACCGTTGAAAAGATTTAAGACATTAGGAGACATTAGGAGACAAAGTGATACATTGGAAGACATTAGTATACAAAGTGATACATTAGTAGACAAAGTGAGACATTGGTAGATTTTGGTAGACAAAGTGAGACATTGTGAGACATTTTTGTACTGTTTTACAGTACCTTGTAGACATTAGTAGACAAAGTGATACATTGGTAGACATTAGTAGACAAAGTGATACATTGGTAGACAAAGTGAGACATTGTGATACATTGGTAGACAAAGTGAGACATTGTGAGACATAAGCCACTTTTTCTAAGGAGCATAGAACATTTAAGCAACTCTGTAATCAGACACAACAGCTTAAATAGACAAAATGCCGAGTAACCCAGTAGAGGTGCTTCGAACCACCGCACCATAGAGGTACGAAGAAGGAGTGTTGATAGAGTGCTTATCATGTGCTTATGCATGTGCTTGGAGACACTTGTAGTTTGCACTCGATAGAACCGGTACTGGTACAGTAGGATCCTACGTAGACTCAGTACTAGAGTCTACGTGTGACGTCATATGGTCTTAATCTGCAGAGAAAAAGAATTGCCCGTCAGCAGGTCATTATCTTCAACCGCTCCTGACTCCACCAATAAGTACACTATGAAGATGCGAATTTTTTGGCTTACTCAGCAACATGTGCTCTACTGATTCCCCTACTTAACACAGCTAATTCGATATTCAGCTCTGAAGAGAATATTCCGCGGAACGGTCGGTCTTAATGTGCAGATCACTCTAGTAGAGGCTAGCTAGCGAAATCGATGAAAGGCTTGTAAAAAAACTATAGAAAACCCTCGGCTGCCACGTGAACTCGAAGCCACGCAGATTGAATCATTCTTTCTAGCTAGCAGATATCTTCATCCTCCCTCAGTCTAAATTGAACCTGGTGCTGATATCGTGTGTACGTACCCCACTTTAAAATCAGGCCAGCCTGATACTCAAAGCGACAACACTTGCGATCTACATCATGTTGTCTGCGATAGAGACCATAAATAACGTGGAGTCGCGCCTGAGTGAGGCACCGAATGTAAACGGTTAATCAAACAGCTCTGCAAGCCTTGAAGCGCAGGTTTCAAGCGAGAATGATTGGCTGAGGGCGCGGGAAACCGAGGGTTCTCTCTTTCGCCTTCGAGGGCTCCCGCGGGGGTTGGAGGCATGAAAGCAACTTCCGTCACTTCTTCAATAATCATGCAACAGAAAGCAACCTTTCGTCATAAATTCGATTTGCCCACATTGATACAACTATCATCGACACTTACTTGAGAAGTGGCGTAAGCAAATTGATTGAGTGGCTGTGAGATATCCCTGCTACCAGCATACAGTGTACCAGTTTCAACCAGCGAAAACAAAACCATCATCCTTCCATCATGAGTTCTGCTCCCGACAAAGAACCTCCTTCCCGCGCAGCTCTTCGTCGAGCTAGGCGCGTTTGTGTCAAGGCTGGAACCTCTGTCGTCGCCAATGAAAATGGATCGCCTTCGTTGACAAGGCTCGGAGCGATTGCCGAACAGATTGCTGAGCTTTGTAACTCTGGTGTTGAGGTGATTTTTGTCAGCTCTGGTTCTGTTGGAATGGGAAAACGCCTCCTTCGAAAGCAACGCCAAACTCTCATGAGCTTCAAGGACATGCAGCTTCAGTCGGAAAACGGAAAAGACGAAGACGACACTGTGGGCTTGCACGACCATGCCGATCATCATGAACCAGTTCCCCTCAACCGATCGCCCAACAGGGCCAGCTTCGTCAACCTTTTGGATATTCAGGAGCGACCACATTCCATGGCCCAAAAGAAAAGATTCTACGATTCTGCTTGTGCTGCTGCTGGGCAATTTGAAATGATGAATCTCTACTCCAATCTTTTCGCTCAATGTGATGCCTCTGCTTCCCAAATCTTGGTCACACAAGCCGATTTTGCCGACCCTGTCCGACGCAACAATCTTCATTATGCCATTGAGCGTTTGCTCTCCCTTGGAATTATCCCCATTATCAATGAAAATGACGCCGTGTCGGCGAATCTCGGATATACTGCCGATGATGTCTTTTCCGATAACGATTCCTTGGCAGCCCTTTGTGCCAGGACTTTTGATGCCGAAGTGCTGTTGCTCTTGACCGACGTCGAAGGAGTCTTTGACCGTCCCCCAAGCGAATCTGGGGCCAAGAAATTGGAATTCTACCGCCCAGAATCATCGGAAGTTGCCATTGGCGCGAAGTCAGCGCAGGGTGAGTAGATAACCACTTTGCCTGCCCGTCGTACTGTTTTGAAATCCCTGCACCAATGATGTCATTTTAACATTTTGCAATTATCTGTTAAGGACGCGGTGGTATGTCATCCAAAATTGGATCGGCTATTTCGGCTGTGCAGCCAGGGTCCAACTGCAGTGCTTGCATTGTGGCTTCGGGAGCTGACCTCAACTCCATTAGGGCTGTGTTTGGATCTGATCCAAAGACAAAATACAGTTGTGGGACGCTCTTTGTGACCCCCGGTAGTAAGCTGGAGGCCCAGGCCACGAAGGACTTTCCCGAGGAGGCGGTGAGTTTTCTTGTTTCCCATTATGATCTAACCGTGACCAACTACATGTACAAACAAAGTAACTCAATCGTCGTCATCTCCTTGATCGTTTCATCATAGGAAACCCAAGCAAACATCAGCAGCGAAGCCCGGGATCAAGCTTCTGCTGCCCGTGCTGAGGCACGCAAACTCCAGGCTCTTCCCTACGAGGTACGCCAAAGCATCCTTAGCGCCGTGGCGGATGCCTTGATCGAACGCCAAAAGGAGCTTTTGGATGCCAATACCTTGGATGTGGAGGCTGCTGAAAAGGATGGAATAGCTCTGGTCTTGAAGAAGCGTCTCAAGCTTACCGAAGCCAAACTTGCCACTTTGGCGGCAGGTCTTCGTCAGATTGCAGGCCTTCCAGATCCTTTGGGGGTTGTCAAAAGCAAGCGAGAACTGGCAGACGGCTTGGTCCTTTCTCAGATATCCGTCCCGATTGGCGTGCTCATGATCATCTTTGAGTCGCGCCCCGATTCCATGCCTCAGATTTCCGCGTTGGCCTTGGCAAGCGGCAATGGCCTTTTGCTCAAAGGAGGAAAAGAAGCGGTCAAATCGAACGCAGCCATTCACCGTGTCATTGGCGATGCCATCGAAGCTGGTAGTGGTGGAAAGATCAAGCGCGACATCATTGGGCTAGTCACAAGCCGTGGGCAGGTAAGCAAATGTAGTTGTGTGCTTGGGTAGCAGGTTCTCCACTTTGAATCCTTGCAACTTACATGTGATGTCGCTTCAGGTTGCTGATCTACTGACTTTGGATGATACGATCGACCTTGTCATTCCTCGAGGAAGCAACGCTCTCGTTTCCTACATCAAAGCAAACACAAGAATTCCGGTGCTGGGACACGCAGACGGCGTTTGCCATGTCTATGTCGACGAAAGTGCGGACAAAGATGCAGCCTGCAAGATTGCTGTGGACGCAAAGACGGACTACCCATCAGCGTGTAATGCAATGGAAACTCTCCTTCTGCACAAGGCGACAATCGAAAACGGGGTAGCTTCCAGCGTATTGATGGCGTTGCGGGCTGCCGGTGTGAAATGTCTTGGTGGCCCTATCGCTATGAAGATGGGTCTCTGCGACAGCCCTGCGCAGGAGCTCAAGTGTGAGTATGGCGACTTGACTTGCATGGTTGAGATTGTCGAGGGCTTGGACGAGGCCGTGGATTGGATTCATCAGTACGGGAGCGGCCACACTGAGACAATCGTTTGTGCCAAGGACAGCCCTGTTGGGGAAGAGTTCCTCAAAAGGGTCGACGCTGCTTGTGTTTTCAAGAATGCCTCCAACCGCTTTGCTGACGGTTTCCGCTTTGGCCTTGGTGCCGGTAAGTTTTGGTGGGGCTTGTTTGGTTTTTGCTCGTTTCTTTGCATGCGTGGGACAAAGCTCTCAGTAACATTTTGTTGTTGCAGAGGTTGGGATTTCCACTGGTCGCATCCATGCCCGTGGCCCTGTGGGGGTCGAAGGTCTCCTCACAACCAAGTGGCAGCTGCGATCGGATGGCGTGGACTATGTGGGAGAGTTCGGCGGGGAGTCGCCGACCAAGGCGTACACCCACAAGGAATTGATGTAAATGTGGATGCAAAAGCTACAAGGGGATGCTTCATACTGCCCAACGCGCGTCCGAGCTGAACACAATCAATACACTATAGGTGCGAATGACATAAAAATAAGCTATGATCTTATTCTAGATACCAGCTAGCTGTTAGGTAGCTTGGTAGCCTCCGAGTGCAACGATCCCTTCACCTTTTCATCGTCGAGAGGCTGCATTCGGCCAGAGGTTCAGTTGGTCAAGAACCTGTGGGTTGGCCCGGTACTGACGAGAGCAACTTTCAACTCTATCGTTAGTGTGATCAGGAGGGCTTGGTGATTCGAGGGCATAGGTTCTGTCAAGGCCATGTTGGCTGCTCCTGGCTGAGCTGTCAGCATTGCACCCATCACTGATACGGTAAGCTTCCAATGTCACGGAGTGCGTTCCTCAAACCTTCCACAACATCTGCTTGTTCCGTCGATCACGAATCTGCGACTGTCCATCGCAACCGTACGTGATGTCTGTTGGTGGAGGCAGCTGCCTCCAAAAAGAATTGGGAGGTGTTGGGTGACTTTGACGCAATCACGAAAGACATGACATCCCGTCACGACAAACGGAGGGACTGAAAGTCAGCTTTAATCAGGTAGTTAAGGTAAATATAGAGTTAAGGTTGAATTTGTTACTCTAAAAATTTAAATTATGTTTTGCCTTACCGCATCTACCTCATTCAACGCGGAAGATTATTGAAGTTTGGCTTTCCAAGCTTTGGGTATCTTTCTTCAAAGACACTCACGACGGAGCGATGGGCTCTCAGCCATCAAACCCCCTCATTCAACCTGCAGATTCGTCTGACCTCCCACCGTGCAAACGTCAGTCCCAAACCATGTAGAAATCAACGGTAGAAAAAGTACTGAGGTACCGAAGAGTCAGTCCCAAAACGAGAAGCACTATCACTTCAACCTCCCTCCAAAACTTTCTCTACAACTCTCTACACCCATCACAATCCCCGCAGATTGGCCCTTGAATTCCATTCTCTCTTTTTGTGTTGCGACCAACTTCCATCCAATAGATTTGCTACTCCTTTACTTCCTATAGCAAACAATGGCCGCAACAGTCGCTTCTATCTCCCTCCCGATCCCTCAGCCTCCAGTGTTGGTGGATACCCCTGCCGAAGCACGCAAACGTCGCCGCGAAATCCTAGCTTCGCAGCGGAACAGTTCCGCCACACCTGATGTATCCTCTTCTGCTGATGTGGTCGTCACCGACGATGGAGAATCCGCCACCAAAAAGCAGAAGGTATCAGCCCTTCCTGTTGTGGTTTCTCCAAGCACTCCAGCCAAGAAAGCCATTGTTGCCAACTTGGCCAACAATGGCAAGGCAAAGAAACCTCAAATGAAGTACGATCCTGACGTACCCATGACCAAGGAGGAGGCTGCTGTCTGGAGGAGGGAGCAACGTCGCAAGCGAAACCGAGAGAGCGCTGCTGCTTCAAGACAACGTCAGAGGGACCGTATCGTTGAACTTGAAGCAGAAGTAGAGGAATGGAAGATCAAATTTGAGGAGGCCATGAATAGGATCCAGCAGCTGGAGGAAATTGGAACTTCTGGCAGCACCCTCGTTGTTCAGGAAGTTTCCCCCGAAGGTAAAAATGACGACGCGTTAATTGATGAAGACACTTCCGAAGCCATCGATATTCATTCTCCTGAAGCTCTCGTCGAGGAAGTCTTCAAGGAAACCACCATCCTTATTTCCCCTTCCCACTCTCCTCGAAGCGTTTCTCCCAATACCACGTCATCTTTGGATTTCTCCCAGGTTCAAGCTGTCAAGATAGTGTCCAACGTTGGTGCCGCAAGCAAGGAAGTTGTCCCGGAAGAGCAAGTGGAGGAGTCACAGCCGTCTAATATGATCTCTCGACCAGCATAGTCAAGAATCATTCACAAACCCACCGTTGCGGAGATCAAATTTGTTTCCCAGTCCCACTTTGTGTAATTTCTGGTGTCCCTGGAAGTTTTCCCACCCTCAACAGCACAGGTCTTATCCTGTCTGTCCTAAGCACAGCGGCTCTCGTTCAGAGAGTTATTAAATCGCTGGCACCCCAAAGGGTTGGCTTCCAAGGGCGCTTTGATTTTTACACAATTGTCGAGGATTGGGACAGATAATTCCGCAACAAGGTCATGATGGTGAATTCCATCGATCTCCAGAAGTCGAATTATTTTTCGCTTTTGACTCGAGAAATGACCTATAAGATCACCATTCCAGCAGTGAAGATCAATACTGGCTTGGCTCCTCCTTCTCTCCCGCTCCTTCCCGATGACGAAAGCTTGGTATCCCCCGAACCCTGCCAATCCTTGGAGGCAGGCACTGTCTTCAAGCTCGAACCCAACCCGGATGGTTCCAACACCACGGCGGTGAGCATTCCAATGCCTGCGAATACCCTCACAGACGAGGACGAAAATGAAGCAGAGTTTGGCGAGTTCCTTTTGGATGCTGTTGACTGGCTCTAAAAGGTTTGGTGAGTTGAAGGGAGATAGGTTTTTAGTTTGTTTGTTGCGTGGCCCAAGAAGGATTCATTCAAAGTGACAGTTTCTAGTTTAATCTCTAGCTAGCTAGTACTAGATTTGTCTCAATATTGTGCTACCAGTACCAGTACCGTACGCAGTGGCAAGTTATCACCAGAAGCAACCACAGTCAGTTCTGTTTGTTCATCATTTGACATGGCTGCTGATGAGCGTATTTGGGATCCCATACAGCATCCACCACAAGTAAAGCTGTGGCTCGACTCCGTCTTGGATCAACAAACTACAGGCTTCATGGTGGAAGGCACAGTAACTATTACGGTATGCTGCCGGACCACTACTTTAGCTTTTAAAACATCCAGCCAGTCAACAATGGCGGCAAAACAAACAACATGGTTGATTTGTTCGAGTGTAGCTGGGAACGCTAGGATATGGGGAGAGGGCTGTTCATCACCCAAAATTCTGTACACAGCACTACCGTACAGAGCGACTTGCTTGGTGGGTGGACTCAACCGGTGGTTCCAAGGCAATACAATGCCCTGATATTGACCAGGAGAAAGAAGTGAGAGCGTCGGGTTGGGGCCGTATTCTGTACCGGTACTCCCCAAGGGGACCGCTCAACCTTCACCATTACATGTACAGTACTTTGAACTATTTTGCTAGCCCTCTGAACTATTTTGCTAGCTCATCGCCGCCGACACAGCATTCAGTGTTGAACGAACGGGTGTGGATTAATTCATAATACTCCTACCGTAGCTAGATCAAAACAAACATTCTTGCTAATTTGATGGACAGGCATTATGATCGGCCCATTTCAACTTCAGAATCCAATCCTGAGCTCAGCGTCTGTTCCCCTGCCATGGCTAGCTGTATGGCATTCTTTGCATAGGTTGGCACTCCCGAAGCCTTTTCGATCCTTCCATCGTCGAGTTCCAGGTCAATGATCTCATTGGCAGACCCCGCCAAAACTTCAAAGTGACCCACACGCTTTATGACAACCGCAGCAAAGGGAGATCGCCGTTGATAGTTGGACAGTCGAAGATCATTGTCAGATAAATTGTCAGCTTCTTGGAAATTTCCACTTTGGCGCAGCATTGGTCTGAGCCAGTCCAACGGGGGCAAGTGACCGTGTGCGGGGCTATCGGCTGGAAACACCTTGTCTCTGTCGTAATTTCGGTAGAAGTGAAGCGTCTCAAACACGTCATCTCCTCTAAACAAGCAAAGACTTCGACTGATGAGTTCAGCCATGGCTGAGAACCTTGCATGATCTTTGTCATTTGGCTTGTTGTTGTCTCCAATGGCAGGCATGGACAAGACAACGGAGCCAAGCTGAGTGTCTGGGACTGATAACATCTCGCAGATGCAATTCCAAAAGGAAGATAGGACATGACAGCAGTCTGGAAATCCGCAGTAACGATAACCAATCTGCCCAGGCTTAACGTTGAGAGCTTCCAGGCCTTCTGGTGCTTTGCATGGGCTCTTTGTGTAAGGACAAAGCTGTTCCGAAACCACAAGTCGACCGATGAAGGATTTCATGGCCGCATTGACTTTGGATTCTTGGTAATTTGGAAATTGGGTATCACTGGATCCAGTGGATGTTTTATTGGCGGTTTCAATGACCATTGCGGGTCCAGCGCCCTTGCCAACCACGTTGATGCTAAAGCGCTGTAACTCTGGTAGATGATCCATCAATCTGGTCTGCGTCTTGAGCACCAAAAAATCGTCGACAAAGGTTCGCAAGGCATCCACTCCAATGTTCTCCAGGACCAGGCACACTTTTTGTCCCTCGTCTTGGTCGGATAACTCTGCCATTGTAGTCCATAGGGCTGCCTGAAGAATATGGGCCTGGGCGGCGTCACACTCGAGCAACGGCACACCCTCGATTTGCAGGTCTCTCAGTAGACATTGGTACAGATTTTTCTTTCGAGTTTGATCGAGTTCTTCCAGAGGATCCTCCGTGTTTTCTTGGGTAGCACTGGAAGAAGAAGATGATGACGACGAAAGTGGTGACAACCGATGCTTGTTGGAAGCAGCATTGGATGGACCATGAAATTGTGGGTATTTCACGGGAGAAAAGGCAAACGCTCTGAACTGGAAAAGTGAGAGCAAAGAGCAGCAAAGTAATGTGGTGTAGAGGATCGTCATGGTGTCCACCTTTTCCTTCTGAATCTATCCGATAGATCCAAATGATTTTTTTGTGAGATTGAATCAAATCACAAAAGCAACTAACTGAAAACTACCACCACGTGGAGCCTTCGAACCGCTTCCTCCACTGACGTCATCCCGTCAGAAGACTCCAGAAGCTTCTGGAGTGACTGGCACCCAGATTTCTACGCTGTACCAATAGATAATGGGGGGTTTACATGTAGAGCAGGGAAATTATCTACAGAAGCCAGCCGGGGCCAGGCAAAGAACAGTCCAAATTCTGGACTAGTTAGGTTCTGTGGGATCAGGACGGGCAAGAAAGTAAGGACCATTACTCGTACCAGTACCTGGTACCGCATGCATACACCCCAACACCTCAACTCGATCGTGTCATTGATTTTTGTACCCGTACCGACCGACTACAGTACTGTACTGTACTTTATGGGTTAGAGGGAACTATGATGAGGATGGGGTGCAGGGTGCAGTGAGGGACGACAGGATGCAGGAACGCCGGTACGGTACACGTGTAGCGACCGGCAGTACTATTTCTCCAGCTTGATACCGGTAGGACTGTTGTGGAACAGCAGGTAGAAGCATACCGGCGGTAGAGTACTAGCGGTGTGGTATGATGTGCGAAGCGCTGACGAAGATATACGCTTCTTTATTACAGGCATCAACTGCTGGCTGGCAAGCAGGCTGCGCGGCCTCATGGTGATGATGAGGCTTGTGAGGCAGCGTGACCTACCGTATTGGTTTAGACACAACAAATCTCCTTTTTCTTCATAGTTTTTATAGTATTTAGTTTATTTTGTAGAGTGAATTCCAAGGAGCTTTGAAGACCGGAGTAAACCGCTGCCCTTCTCGCTTGTGGGAATAAGGAATAAGAATACAGGTCGGGATGATGTGTAACGAACATACATTTAGGAAGGGGTCGTCCCCTGTCAGCGGGATGCCTGCTCCAGTTCGCTCGCTGATGCGCATCTGCTATGCTGCTGCTTTTGGCTATGAACTAAACACTAAACTGGCGACCGCAGAGGCTTGCTACGATCCCACTCGTCGTCGTCGTCTTCATCGCGTCGGCTTCCTTTTGAGCCTTTCGATGATCGTCTGCGCTTGGGCTTACTTGGACTGCGGCGTTTGCTGTGCCTCGAGGGCGGCAACAATTCTCGGTGACTCAGAGACTTGATGAGAAGGTTGGTCATGGAGTGGTGCAAGTAGCAAGCATAAACGACAAAGACAGCACAGACAAAGGCAGAGAGTACAAGGCCAGCCTTCTGGAGATCGGTCACAACTTCCTCGGCGTCTTCGGTTGCTTCCATTGCAATCTCTCCGTTTGAATCGTAAGTTCCAAATCGGATACTCTCAATGAAGGAACACTCGGTGGAATCACTCTGTTGACCGTCAAAGAGGTCGTAGACCATGTTGGTGGTACAATCGGCGGCTACATCGTGAATCATGTTGCACATGTAGCTGTTGGCATTGAAACCAGGGGGGTAGTTCTACAAAAGAGAAATACAGGGATTGAGTTGAGTGAAAGACTTAAAAGGTGCTTCAAAGCAAAAAGACGGAAGCAACAGGAAGAGACTTACACTTTCGGAACAATCAAAGCAAGCGCCTTCGTTGAGTTCTTCAAAGACACCTTCGTCAAAGGCAATCTCGAAGCTATCCATGTTGACTCGATTCGCCGCTGATTGGGAGCAGTATTCGTCGTAGTAGACAGCAAATGTGATCTTTTCTTGGGATGTATCACAAGTGGGTCGCACAAAGTAAATTCCTCCGTATTGGTCGGCTAGCTCAGTACATCCCAGATAATCAAAGTACTCATCCTCGTCGATGTACTTTTGCTGTTGGTAGTAAGCGTAGTCATCTTGGTAATAGTTCTGCTGCTGTTGGTTATCATTGTCTTGGCAGTCATAGTAGTAGTTTTCACAGTAGGATCCGTATGAGTAGCACTCATCATTCTCATCGTAGTAGTAATCATTCTGGTTTCCGCCATCGTCATTGTTGTTATTGTTGTTCTGGTAGGCGTCGTCATCACCATCGTACTTGTAGAAGTCATCACCACCGTTGTTGTTTTGTGCATTATTGTTATCATTCTGGTTGTTGTCGTCTTGCTCTTCATCACCGTCTTGCTGTTCTTCTTGTTGTCCGTCCTCTTCCAGTCTTCGACGGTTGTTGTTATTGTTTAGGCATTCCGCACACCATTCACAGAGACTTTCTTTCTTGTCTGCCTTGTAGCGCAGCATGATTCGAATGTAGTCGTAGAGGCCAATGGCATACTCGGCGTAGTTGTAATGACAGCCGTACTGCCGACTGGAAGAACAAGACTTGTACGGACACAGCCGAAGAATGACAACATCCTGTGTTACCATTGGAGAGTATTCCCCTGCTTCAAGGGCTTCCTCAGAGAACTGTTGAATTGGTTGGCATTTGGCATACTTGAGAGAGTACCCACTAAAGCTGTACATGTTTTGTTCGTTCATATAATAATCATCCGCTGCTTCGTCCAGTCTTCGCCCATTCGCGCCTTCTGAGGCTGCAGACGGGGGCTTGGCTCCTAGGGATTCCAACTGTGCATTGTACTCTGAAAGAGGGATTGCCTTTTCTAATAACTCATCCTGCATTCTATTCTGGCGGGTCTGTCGCACCTGATGACGACTGCCACGAGAAACCACATCTCGGTGGAAATTATTCTGGTTAATAGCATGTACCTGAACTACTAAAGAATTTGACAACACAAGACTACCCACTACGCTGAAGAGCAATGCCGAAAGACGCATCATCGTGATGGTGGGGTCAAAGCCAAAGACAATTCTGGCTTATTAGTTGTGTATGCGGAGGTCTATCGGGCCCGGGTGCGCAGCGATGACAAGTAGACAATCGACGACTAGCACTGGGATGGCGATGATGGCATGGCACATTGAGCGATGCTCAAAATGTGGACGTCGCTGTCGATCCAGCCGGCAAGACGTTTCCTTCCCCATGTGGTGCGCGACTTAGGGAAGAGCAAGTCGACCTTTGATCCGTGAAAGCTAGATTAGGGTTTAGGTATTTGGCTTTGCTGGCTTTTTCACAGCCAATCTTGCTTTCGCACTCATGAACAAAGCTCCGTGAGAGCTACGGTAGTGGTCACCGGTACCGTAAGAGCTACCGGTACCGTCGTTCGATCGCAACCCAACATTCCAAGTTTGACATATGCACACACGTAGCCCTCAAGCTAGACTATACCAGGTGATAGCTAGTGGATGATTGGCAAAGCTGCCAGGGAAAGTAGAAAGACACTTGAGCTCGAGAATCACTCGAAAGTGGATACAGAAAATGATGATCCTTATTCAATACTACATGTACCGCTACCAGTGCATCCACTCACACACGGCTAACTAGCTACATCGTAGTTACTGTATCTAGTTACTCGTGGAACGGTTTCCTACAACTATGTAGGTACTGAGTATGCATAGGCTTTTGGTGTGGGCGATGATTCATTTCAATTGCTGCGTCGGAACAGCAAACCCCAGCGCCAACTTGGCGTTCACCAGCAACCAGACCATCTTACTCATCGCACGGCACCACAAGCCAAGGATACAACTGTATCGATTCTCTCATTCATTCTGAGAAGCTGGAATCCACACCATTACTGGCAGACCCAGTGCAATTTCATCAAAGAAGCCGATTCTGACGTACTCGTCTGCCGAGAGCAGGGAGAAGGCAACGAGAGTGAGTGCTCTGTATGAGTAGCGACACCTGAGTAACTCCGTATAGCGAAGTAATGGGTTATGATCGTACCAGTGAACCAATGACCAACGGGCAGGACAGTGCAAATGACCAGGGTAGTGATTACTGGTCGAGGAAGATTGTTTTTCATCCACCTTACAAAGGGATGATCGGAAACTGCATGCTCCATCATGATTGCCAAACCATTCCAGGCAAAGAAGGCCAAGTGATATCCATACTTTGGTGTGTAAAAGGAGTCGTCCTCTAGGACTCTTGCTTTCATTGCTAGTGCAGTCAAAACATACTCGTGGAATATGCCACTGGCAGCGAATGTAACAAAGGCTGCAACACTTGCAGGGAAACCGTTCTTTCTCATGGGGACGTAGACTCCACCCTGACCAAAAGAAGCGGAAAGTTGGTGAGGCAGGAAACTGTCATTGCAGATAGGACTCGGACGATTCGCCACAAACCTTTAGAACAAGGTGTACTAGAGAATTCCAACGCCTTGACCAAAAATCTGACACGCTTGTGGATTGTGTCATGGGGCTGTTAGTAAGCTCTATGACGGTCGTCCCAGTGAGGCCTTGAATTATAGTACCAACCACGAGAGAGCCTGATGCTAGACCCATCCCTGTCAGGGCTGTCACAAAGGCGGAAATGGAAGGTCTGTTCATTGGACATCTTTGAAACCCTACAACAACAATCTACAGGTACCGATACTTACAGGCCATCGCATAATTGTTAAGAAGATGGGAAAGAAGATGCGACCAGCGAAACAAGTCAAACAGAGTCTTCGCTTCAGGACTTGGAAACAATTCATATGAGTGGTGGATAAGAAGACCCAGCAGGACGCATAGAAGGGCCATGCCTTTGGCGGTTTTGAAAAGCACGCTCCTGAAGTCTTCACTCGAGGATGGCAAAACATCTCCAGTCTTTGGGTCGAACTTGAACTGCACTGGTGCCACAAAGAACAGCACAAAGTTCTTCCATGAACGTTCCACATAGGGTGGCATTGTGCCATGAATCGCTGCAATAGGTCAGATAAGCACATCAACTTTGCTCCAAAATTCCAGTGTTGTGTCGCAACTCACCCATCAAGGTTCGGAAGAAGACGACAAACATCGATCCTGCTTGCCCCATCAGCATTGCCTGGTTGTGGATTCCCAACCATTGCGCGAGGTAGTAGGGAAACAGAACGACTGCGGGGAGTATCACGCCATACCCAGCCAAGTATGCCGCAATAGAACCCCTCCTTTTAACAACTAAATAGTAGCAGGCTACTGCAACAGCCGCATTAGTTGCCGACTGCATGCCTAGCACCTGCGTACAGTAAGATTCCATCATTCGGCCAAATTTATTTGAGAATTAAAAAACATCATCAAAACAGCCTGCACCCATCACCACCAACGTTTGCATGAGGGCATACCATTGGCATTTGAATCCAGAAAATGGGATGAGGCGCAAGAATGCCCAAAGATCCCGATCCAGAAACCCTGATGCTGATAAATGGTTCCCGCACATCATCTTCAATTCTCGCACTGAACAAAGAGCGCAAAAGTTCTACCACCATTGTTTGATTGCTTTTTTGGTTGGATCAAGAGCGAAGAAGTGCTGCCTGGCTGCTACGGCTTTCGATGGGAATTCAATCCTGGTCGAAGTTGCCGATGGGATCTTTCTTACACGACTGAAAGAACAGAAAGGCGACACATTGGGTTCAGAGAGGCTTGGATTCTATTACTAACAAATAACACGGAGGAAAGTCGGCCAGGCACACTCTAGTTTTTTATATAGCTAAATAAATCTCACTAAGACATCAACTTCAACCGTCGATATTTTGCACGTTAGGGTTGAGGATAGTCGACTCACACCACCAACAGCAGCACCAACACCAAGCAGCAGCTTGTATCGAAGACAAGCCACAACAGGAGGACAATGGCGTCCATGGCCAAGGCAACACAGGAATGAAGGATCCGGAGCAGCACCCACACACAGCTACAATAAGCAGTCAACATCAGCAGGAACAGCACCGATGTCTGGTAGAGAGAAGAAGGAAGAGAAGAGATGAGCGCATCACGACAACAAGCAACAACATAACAATTCACAATGGAGCCGACCCACTCTTCAGCCTCTTCAGTGCATCTGGGACAATCCTTCTGGTATGTACCCTCATCGGAGTCGGAGTCATCTTTGAGATTGGCGCCTCCAAACTTCTCCTGGATGGCAGAGAAACCGACACTAGTATCCTCAGAAGCCATCGATTCATCCACAGACTTGTTGGCCTTGCCTGGAGTCTTGACAGTTTCATGGAGACATCAACATCCTTCCCTTGTCATCGACTTCAACGCTGTCATCGTCGCTGTCCTCTTTCTTGAGGAGGTTGGTGCTGTCGATGAAGTCCAAGATCCTTTTCGAGGCCGCGGCCTTGGACGTGTCCACTGCCTTGGCCTTGGGCTTGGGCTTGGCCGATGCCATGATCTCCTTCTCAAGCTGTTCCATCATCGCCGTAACTTCCTGCACTGTGAGAAAGATACACTGGGAGACAGTCTTGAGGATCTCACTGGTGGCTTCATCCATCCTCTTGTTTGCATCTGCAATCAAATATTTTGGCATGTTGGGGAATTCCTCTTCCAGGTACCACTGCTTGTTCGGAGTGTTCGCCCAAGTCTTACAAATGTCGTTGACTCTTCCTTGGGCTCGTTCGTTGACGACTCTGCGACGGTCGTTGTTGGCTGCTGCGGCGGCTTGGCTACTCTCGAAGCTTCCAAGCTCCATGAGTTTGCGCCCATGAGCTACGTATGCCGCTTTGGTCTTGAACTTGATTTCGTCGGTTCAAGATCGTCTCCATTTTTATTGAACCAGGTATGCTTGAGGGCTAGCTTCGCGTCGTCGGAATCAAAAGACACCTATGCAAAAAACAGGACAAATGAAAACAATGGTGAGGCGACAATCTGGATGGGTACGGTTTCGTTCCACGCT